AGTAGTCACTGATTTTAATGAACAGACTGGGAAGTAACAGATACAAGACTTCTATATCAGACATACCCATTTGATGAGTATGAACCCTGGGAGAGAAAGTAGATTTGATAGAAGAGTCAAGCCAAGAGGTTGTTTCTCCCTCTAGACTTCTTTGCATTTTTTTGTTTTTGTTTTGTTTTATTCTGTTTTGAGACAAGGTCTCATTCTGTAGCCCAGGCTAGTCTGCCTCAAATTCTTGCTTCCTGAATTCTGGGATTGTAGGTATGCCAATCAAAGGTTTAGCTTCACTTTGTTTTTTGAAACAAGATCCCAGACTGGCTTCAAATTTACTATGTACCCTAGGTCATCTTTGAATTTGCTAAATCCTCGTGCCTCAGTCTACCAAGTTCTGGGATTACGGACATGAGCCACCATGTCTGGCCTTTTTTTTTTTTTTTTTTTTTTTTTTTCATTTTTAGAATGGAAAAACTATTCTATTTTTGTCACCACAATCAAGTCTTTAGAGACAAATCTCAGTCTCTGGAATCTAAAGGAAGAATTGTATGTAGCTAAAATAGCACCTCAATGCCATTGTGCTACAGAGATGGACAAGGACACTGACAGCCATGTTACATTTTTTCTCTGTGTTTTGCTCAAACACAAACGCTATAATTGGAGATACACTTGAAGAGGTTTGTTCCAAGTAGCTGAGAATATACTGGTTTCCATGCCAAGTCCAGGAATAAATCCTAGGTGACATTTAGGTTCTGCATGGAATTAACAGTAGTCTAGGAAGCAAACAGCCTGAGAGCCAGAATGATAACAGACTGGGAGTGAAAACAGGGATGTGCATGTGGATAAACGTGCTCTTTCTTCTTGTCACATTGCGTCAACAATCTGGATGCTATGACTGGGGCAAAGGAGGTGCCAAAGAGTGAACCAGCTCAGAATTTACCAACCCATTTCAGAAAAACCCACAATTCTTTTATTGGCAAAAACATCTGTAGAAATTATAGGTAGCTGTTACTTGATCTCAATAAAATTATTTTAAATATATCTGAGTATTTTTATTCCTGACTGATAAGCATCCAATCTTTCATACCAGCCAAGAAAAGCTATAATTCAGTAAATAAACCTAATTGTTCCTACAGGTTTTCTGCTGTGATTAAACTAAGACACATTTAAAGGATCTCCACATGGAGTGGTATAAAATAGTTACTTCAAAACTAATCAATTACCTAATTGTTAACATTCTTGTTGACTCTGGAGCACAGAACACAGAACACTCCAACAAGGGGCAGGAGGCAAGGAATAGAAGGTCCTGACTTCTAGGGTTACTGCTACAGTCTGTTCAGATTCTGCAGAGGCATCTAACTGGTAAAGGCTGCTCTAACCTAAGAGTGGGTTGGACATGCTTTGCATCATACCCAATAATGTAAAATGCAAGGTATCACTCAGAAACTTCACACATGTCTTCTCTCACTGTGACTGGCCTAGAGAAGAGGAATGGCTGCAAAACACTCACATCACCCTGGTAACCACACTTGCCCTTCTACCCAGTACAGAATAAAGACACTGGGCTTATAATGTAATGAGAGAATTAACAAGGATGTGTAGAGCTGCAGGCAAGGGGAGGCACATGACTGAACACCAGTTTCAAGAATCCTTATTTCTGCTTTTACCACTAAAGTATCTGACCCTTTCCTGAATATATATATACTAGGCACTAGGCTGACTGATCCTTAAACCTCTGGGCCCTGGTCCTCACTACTCTGGGTAATGTGCATGGCGACTGCCAGTGTGACATGAAGCCAGCTCTCCAGTTCAGGTCCATCCTGTCGAATGTGACCTGCAGCAGAGTAGTGTAATGCTCAACTGCCTCCTTATGATCTGCCAGGTCCCAAGCTAAAGGAAGACACTGAGTCTTCAGGAGTCAGTGCTTCTTCCTGGGTTTGCTCATCAGTCAGCGCGCGCGCGCACACACACACACACACACACACACCACACACACACACACCACACACACACACACACACACACACACACACACACACACCACACACACACACTGCTTTCAAGGCTGCTCTCCCAGAGGTGGGAGGGGAGGGTGAGGAGTCTTTGGTTTTGTCTGTTCATGGTTAAGTTCAGGATTAAATTAAATAATAAATCCCAAATGACTAACAGTGTTCATAGTGACATATAGCAAGGGTTTAGCACACCATGGCTGTTACATTATTACAAATACCCACTTCAAGTAGTCTCCTTTATTACATGAGAGAGTACATCACAAGGCCTGTTGGGGCTTAACCCATCAATTGCAAAAAGGAAAATTGAGAGTGGGGATGGTACATCAGTATTCCCTTTCCTCTTTTACAGGCAAAACATCTGCAAGGAGTCAGACACCTACCAATAAAGTCACCATGGAATGTTTTTAATGTCTGTGGAGTCACAGTTGATAAGTACTTCATTGGCTGTGCTGACCTTAATTGCTGGCAAAGGGCTGTACTCCAAGCTGGGCAGAAGGACATTAGTCTGAACACATGTGAGATGTGTAAAATTGTTGAAGCAGATTTAAGACACTGTATAACCTTTGTAGTCAATATATTACATATGCCAGTTGAGTGACTCCAATTGCCAACAGGTCCCCAACAGCATGTGCCAACAGGTTTGGGATCCCTTGGCTACAGTCCACAGCACTGTTGCTTAGAGTGCAAGGTCCTTCCCCACAGTTTCTGTATCTCTGAGAATGGCAGGGACCAGCTGGCAGGCTTGGGTCATATGTGCTATTTCTGTGCATAGGATGTGAGTGTACAGTAAGTCAGACCAGGATGTGAGTCAGATCATATCAAGTGTTCAAAGAAACTGATCTTCAAAGCATGCCAGAAGCATCATGCCAGCTTCAGCACCACCGGGAAGAAGCTACACTGTGAAAGATACTTGTAATTACTATACAAAAGAGAAACACTAAGAATATGGAAGGTGAGCACTGTTCAAAGGCCTGCTAATGGGGAAAAAAAGGAGGATAGGGTAAAAGCCACACCCTACAGACCTTAAAATTTTGTGGTAAAAAGATTTATCAGGGTCACATATTTCTCCAGAATATTTAAGCCAGACATGTAGAAGCAGTAAATTGGGACAGCTCAGAAAAACTGTAGCATTTGTTTTTACCCCAAACAAAACATGTCACCAGCCTTCCAGATTAGTGGTTCCAAACTGGGCTCTGTCTGTGCATTTGTGTGTGCATGTGCATGTGTGCTTGGTCACAAAGCACACGTGCGTATGTGGCAGTCAGAAGATAACTTTGGCTGTCATTTCTCAGGTGCTAACTACATTGTTTTTTGAGCCAGGGTCTCACTGGCCTGAGATACATAAGACCCTGTCTCAAATTAAACAAAACAAAATAGTCTATGGGTACTGACTGAGTTACAAAGTTCTACTAAAAACAAAGAAACAAACCTGTAATACTCTCTGTAAAAATGAAAAAGTGTTAACACTGTGACATTAACTAAAATACATATGTTCCTTTCATTAAGCCCTTGGAGACCATTATGGCAAAATATCAATTGTAGAAAATGTGTTTGGTAATTGCATTTTCACTAGCTATTATGTGTTTAGATATGTAGGAAGAACTGTTGTGTCAATGTTTCTTCACACCCTTACTCATTCTTTATAATAGCTATTATTTGTATAATAGAAAATAAAAATATCTTCATAAGACCAGTGCAAGCCTGGTTTTTGTTGTTTTCTCTAATCATCAGATTCTGTGAAGACTCAAGGCAGCTAATGGCATGGCTAAGCGTCCCTTTGAGAATCAGCAAAGAACCACAGGATGAGCTTTGGGAAGGCCTTAATTCAGGCAGACCCCGCTCTCTGTGAGTGCACAGAATGGCAAAGGAAGGAGGGTCACTGGCCATGGAAGCCCTTTCAATGCCAGCAAGCAGCTTGCCTGGACTGAGCAACTACGCTTTTGCTTCCTGGACTGTGAGGAATTCACTGTTGGTCACATTATGGCTACCACTAAAGCATGGCATGCATGGTTTCACTGGCATGCTGTGCAAAGGGCTGTGAAGCTATTAGCAGTAAGTGCCAGGAGCAGAGCACCTCAGAAGCAGGCTTTCCTTCTAAGGGTGGTGTGGGGATGGGCTTGCTTGACCCACCTCACAACCATAACCTTGGGATCTACCCTGAACTCTTCTAGCCAGGCATTTCTTCTCTATGCTGCTGTCCTAGGATCTATTGCATTACTTCTTCTCTGGAAGTTGGGCCAAAAGGCAGCAGTATACTCCCGGAAACCATAATGCCCAGGTATGGAAACAACTATCAATTACCACGGCCCTGTCTGTCAAGGCCAATGGAACTCATGTCATTATCCAAGCACTTTCCAATCTACCTACATATGGGTTCTTTCCACATCAGTTTCCTTTGAGTAATCCTTACTCATCCTTCAGATCCTGGTGCAAATGTCACTGCCTCAGGGGTGCCTCCTTCCACACTCCTACACCAGGCCAGGCTCCCTCACACCTTGATATCGCAGATATCTGCAGTTCATGGTGTTTCACCCAATTCTTATTTAGTTCTGTGACACCATGAAGGATGTCTGCTTCACTTTTAGTTCCCCAAGGGCAGAAAACATGCCTATCTCTGCTGTGTTCCCATGCACAGGATAGTGTCTGCCTAGTAAAAGTTGCCTCATGGCAAGATGTTTCACAGGCTCCTGGGATGAAATCCATACCAGTGGGAGGAATGTCACGTGCCCAAGTGAACAGTTACCAAGGGGTATTCCCCTTTTGGGTGCTAGAGATTTACCTGAGCTCAGTACTAGCTAAAATGGCAGATGCTATGATACCTCCTCACTTGTTTCTTGGGGCTTCTTTGGCTGCCTAGGATACTAGGGGAGGCCCTGAGCTGTGGCTGACTTGGAGGGTGGAAAGAATGGGACAGGAGCAGAAATGTTCTGCCCATAGTTGAGTGGCCTCAGACAGCTCTGGAGAGGGTGGGTGGGGGGCAGTCAGGGTACTGACCTCGGCTAATGCGCTGCTTCTCCCCAGACAGGATGCCAGGGCTGTCGATGATGCTGATGCTCTTCAGAACCTGGTTGGGCAGCTGTGAGCACATGAATCTGGAAGAGACAGAACAAAGTTGGAGCCAGAAACTGGACTTTGCAGAAGTCTCTTAACTGTGGGGTTCCTTGGACTCTACTCACTAATGTCTGTAAAAGGGGATGTGGAGGAGACAGACAGAGGCTAAAGATGCCTGTGAAATGGACTATAAAGCAGACTCTTGGAGGAAATTGATGGTAACTTCACTGGGCCCACAGAATAGATGCCATTCCACAGACAGGTATGGGAGATGGGCACAACCCATTGCTACCTGCCACTTGATCCCTTATTGTTAACTGCGGTTTTAGCTAATATTCACCAAACACTTGGGTGTTTTACAAATATAACCTATTTTGATCCCTAAATTAACATCCTTCTATCAGTCTCAGAGAGGTTAAGTAGCTGAAGAACCAAGCCTTACCCTCAGTCTGACTCCTACCCCCAGGGGCCTCCTGTTCCCACCTCCTGTCCAAGCATCCTAAGTGTCTGCTGCCTCCTTCAGGATGAATTGCTAGAGCAGAGTATCTGAGTCTACCCTATATTGATTGCTCTGAAGGCTGCTGGAGGTCCTTGGGCTCATGTCCCTTTCTGATACTCCAATGACCCAGCATCTAGTCAAAGGCCCCTGTGCTTCAAGTTCAGCAAAGGACAGGTGCCTCTAGGTAATATCACCCCTCAGATGCTTAGGAGTCCTGGGGGTACCCTGAGGACAGGTGAGGGGGCAGTCAGCAGAGGTCCTGACTGAGGGTCTTCAAGCCACTTTCCTGGTCTCTTTTGCCTGCCTCCTCCTTCTGACTATGGTCCCTGTTGCTAGGCTTCCAATCATCTGCCCTAACAACAGGGAAGCAGAGTGGGATGGAAGAAAAAATTTGAGCTGTGCTCTAGCAGACTTGGGCTCAGGATCTGTTCAGCTTTGTCAGTAATCTTCTATGAGACCTTAGACAAAGGCCTTTCCCTGTGGGCCTCAGTTACCTTGTATGCAGAGGGAGAAAACTAAACTAGAATCTGATGTGTCCTTGGGAGCGTTTCTATTGTAAACCAATGAGTAATAGCAGGAAGCACTTTGTTACTTCCACCCCAGGCAAAGAGCCTGGTTTGGATCTTTGTTAGGCTTGTATATGTTTAAAGGGGGAAACAGTGCCTCTCCTCTTCCTGTTTTAAAAGTGCCTAACTTCTGTATCTGTGTGGGCAGAGGCTTGAAAACACTTGGGAACAGCTCAATTCTTCCATTCAGTGGCAATGGTGGGGATTACTCAGAAATTAAGTATGCTGGGAATGCAAGACAAACAGGCCTCACAACCTCCACAGCTGTGGCCAGAGCAGCCCTGTAGGCAAGGGAGAGAACCCAGGCCCAAGGTACTATCGCTGACATCCATGACAACTGTCCTTTAAGGGACTCAGGACTAGGTAGTCACACATTTTTTTTCCCCCTTGTATTTATAAATCAGCCCAAGAGGTGGAGGAAGAGCAACTCTTTGAAGCATGGATTAGGTATGACATCATGAGGTCTTGCAATGTGTGACAGGCAGGAGGCTACAAGCTAGTACCTCCAAGTCAAATGAGTAGAACTCAGTGCATAAAGTTGAAATCTCCATAGTGTTAAAAATACAGCCAAATACATGTAAGATAAACCTTTCATTTATCTTTTTCTCTGGCCCTTCTTGTACCCTAAGCCCAAGTGCCCAATATGAGCACAGCAAGTATGTGATCAGAGCACACAGGGACTACTAATCACTGTTTGTAAAGTTCCCAGAGAAGTGAGGAAGAAACAGAGTTCTCACACCATTTCTTCTCAGTCTATCTTGTAACCAGTGGAAATGTTGAACATGCTGTATCTCTGTGAAACTATTTTACACAAACTGTTCCCACAAGGAAACTGATAATTCTCTAAAACCACAAGCTCACAATTTTTCCAAAACATAAAATCCTAGATTTTAACGTGAGGCTAACAGAAACACTCAAAACTCCCACAGTGTTTACCCCTGGAATGTACAGCAAGAGCACGTCAACAGCTCCCAGGTCAGGTATGTGAGCCACAGAGTGAGGGGCAGTACTGCTGAAATATATCTTCACATAGCAGCAAGGACAACTGCCAATAAAAAGGGGGCATCCTATTTGGGCTCCATGGGGACTAGAGAAGGGGCTGCTGAAGCCCTGTGTGCTGGTCTGGACTCCATTCCATCAAAGAAACTGTATGGAGTGTGTTGGGGCAGGAGCTAGAGAGCACAAGCAGGCACTGGGCTCTTAGGGTGTCACAGCAGGTACTGCAAGGTTAGGTCTACACATGTGGGCATGTTCCTAAACCACATTCTACTGTAATCAGGAATTCCTAACATCACGATGGCAATCACCACTTACCTTTCCACCCTGAGAAAGGAGGTGAAAGGTAAGATTTGCCGTGCCTCTAACAGCAGGACAGGTCTGGCAGTCCCCAGCAGCAGGTTTCTGCTGGAACATTTCCAGGCAGAGATCTGCTGTCCCAAGATGGATTTCCCACTCTTTCCTGGACTGGCTAAATCAGTACAGACATGTGGCCTTCTCTATTTCACACAAAAGACAGGCATACTGAGGAGATATAGGGTCTCTCTCAGCTCCCATGGGTCCCTCCCACTGAACTGATGAATTTCGTTTCCCAAAGTAAAAGAAGAAATCAAGATCCTTCACTGGACCCCTGGCTTGATGTTATCTACATGTCTAGGGAAAGTCAAGGATAGCAAAGGGACAGAGGATAAAGTAATGGCGGGGATCATAAGGTCTCAAGCAGGCCACTGGTTCTGCCTCACAGGAACACGAGGAAGTAAGAGTATTAGGTTACTCAGAATTGCTTCCAAAAGCTAAAATTGCAAGATGGCTATGTGGGTAAAAGTGCTTGCAGCCATTTCTAATGACCTGAGTTCAATCCCAAAGACCTACATGGTAGAAAAGAAAACTGGTTTCCACAGGTTGTTCAGTGACCTCCACACATTCACAGTAGCAAGCAGACCACCCCTCCACTGCTAAATATATACTTTTTTTTTAAGAATTAAAAAACTAAATTGGTAGACTAAGCATTGTGATTCACACCTGTAATCCAGGCACCCGGGAGACCTGGGAGATAGAATGGGGAAAATCAGGAGATAGGATTATCTTCAGCTACATACCGAGTTTGAGGCCACCTGCGCTATATGTAACCCCCTTTTTTTTTTTCAAAGCACAAAACAAAACAAAAAAACTAGACTTGTAAACAGTTGGCCAGGGTCTTAATACTGATTTTTAATTTTTCAATATAACAATAAGGTTTGTAGTAATTAATAATAACACCAGTATTAACTAACCCCTGAGCAAGTGCCATGCCAGGCTTGTTCTACTTTATATATACATGAATTTAATTCATGTATATATAATTTTTTTCTTATTTTACATATTGATCCCAGTTCCCTCTCCCTCCCTCCCTCCCTCCCTCCCATCACATTCCCCCCATGTATTAAATTCTTACAGCAGTTGAGAGGCTTTAAAAAAGGGCAGACTGGGGCTTGGAATGGCCACATGCTCTCACTTGCCATAACCCACTGGTGACAAGTGATGGGAATGAGATATTAGCAGAGTCCTGTGTGTGTCTTAACTATATGGTTACTACTATTACTGCACACACTGGAAACACTGCTGAGTCTGTTTACCACACCCAGGGCAATACCCTGGAACAAAGGGACTGGTGTCCACTGCTCTGCAGCTTCCACGTTCAGCCTGTGTTCTGCCTAATGGTGCGGAAAGTGGTGAACAGACGGAGCTATGGACTGTGAGCAATCTCACTTGCATAGGTCTCTAAGCCTGTCTATGCCACTCTATCAGGGTTGTCATTCAGCTAAGTCATAACGGGAAGGGAGAAGAGCACTTTCAAAACACTTCCTTTGAGCTTGCCTGCTTTACCAATGAGAGCAAACCCAAGATTATATGATGTAAACAGAAAATCTACAAAAAGACTCAGGCAACTAAATATCACACAGCCCCACTATAAATGGTTGATCTAATTTTCTAGTGCCAGGAAAAAGTGATATTCACATCTAGACTTACATAAACGCCCCTCTCTCAACTGCCATGGAGGAAAGCCAGAATCAGTGTGCCAGCCTAGAAGGATCTGCCCAAACCTAGCGAAAAAGTTACTTTTCCTGAAATGGCAGAACCAAAATCATACTGGCGTCAATCAGGAACAATGGTCTGGGATCTGGAGAGATGGCTTGGTGGTTAAGAGCTCTGGCTGCTCTACCAAAGGGCTTAGGTTTGAATCCTGGATCCCATATGATGGCTATAACTCCAGTTCCAGGGGATCTGAAGACCTCTTCTGGAGTCTGCCAGCACCAGGCATGAATGTGGTATACAAATACACATACAGGTAAAACACCCATATATAAAAAACAAAACAAAACAACAAAACCCAAAAAAGCTGGGTAGTGGTGGCACATGCCTTTAATCCCAGCAGTTGGGAGGCAGAGGCAAGTGAATTACCGAGTTCAAGGCCAGCCTGATTTACAGAACAAGTTCCAGGACACCTAAGGCTAGACAGAGAAACCCTGTCTCAAGAAACTACAAAACAAACAAATAACAATGTCAACAACAACAACAACAACAAAAACCCCAGTAGATTGTAGCTGGGCATGTTAGTGCACAATTTTAATTCCATCACTCAGTAGGCAGAGGCAAACAGATCTCTGGGCTCAAAGCTACTCTGGTCTACAAAGGGAGTACAGGCTAGCCAGAGAGACATAACGAGATCCTGTCTCAACAACAACAAAAACAAAAGAACAATGGTTTGTGACCCACAATCACCTCAAGTTCTAAGGTAAAAGATAAATGGGAAAAACTTAAGCAATTAAGGCAAATGCAGGCATGTGTGCATGTGTGAGAGAGTATGAGTGTGCAAAATAAATCTCTTTTGTGAAAAACAGTCATTTAAAAATTATATTAAATTCTAAAACTAAAAGCAGTATCTGGGGCTATCTGTATTTTTAAAATACTGCTATTTTTAGAAAAGTACACAGAGGGA